ATAAACACATCATATTTTAAAATCCATAACCTCTGCTAGGACCTCTTTCCACCCACGAATTGTTTTCATAGTAACATCTTGTATCTGTATGCTACCTTAGATCAAGAAGTGTTTTGTGATTATATTTAGAAGCATGATTGAGAGTATAGGCATTGGGCCTAAGGATCTGAATCCCTGTTCTGGAACAGTGATCTTGTATATATCACTGTAACCTCTCAAAGATCCTCTTCATTTAAAAGATGCAGATAACTATATCTCTCTCTAAGCTTGTTCTGAGGATTACATGAGAGACCATGCAAAATAGCAATAACTAAACTACAGCATGACCATGAGCATTAAGAAGGTGCTCAAAACTGGTGTTTTTTTCTGTTAATCCTTCAGGCCTACATCATTTTCCCCAGGTCAAGAATTTAAAGTAACTCTACCAAATCAAATTTGAATTCAGCAATAACTTGGGAGCATAAATGAACAAAACAGACAAGAGACTCGTAGAGTGACTTATTAATGTACATGAAGACTGTTAGCAGCAGATGTTATATTTTCAAATCAGAACACAGTGGCTGGTAGATAACTTGGGAAATTATTATTTTAATAAACAAGCTCCTTGACCTCTGAACTAAATTAAATGATTATTTTGGCTTACATACTATCTGTGCTTTTTTCTCTGAAAACATACCTAGAAGTAGAGGAAATTTAAGAAATATTGTTTTCTCCTGGAATTTGTTAATCATTTATAATTTATCAGGGAGAAAAAACTGGCCCAAACCTGGAAGAGAACAGGTAGTTAAAATGTAAAAAACCTAGTGACTGAAAGCAGGGCCAATGTAGGTCACTAAATCACTGTGGGTCATTTTCTCTCAGAGAACATCTTACCTAATAGGATTCTGATTTACAATTTGAGATTGTGGTAAAAAGTAAATGTTTTCTTTAAAGTTATGATACCACATCTCAGATTCCAACACTAGTCACCAAAAAGCCAAAAATTCAAGTATTACTAAAATGGAATAAGATGGAATTTCCAATTTCTTTAAGTGTTTATCAGTCTTGTGCATATGAGATTACGTATTCTCTCTATGTAAGATTTAACACAAAGTGATGAATTGCTACCTTAAATCCAATAAATCAATATTTTATGGTCTTCCACAAGAAGAACCACAATGACAGACAGTATGTTCTATTTGGCACACAGTGCTTGAACTCTAGTTGTAATTACACCTTCTCACAAAGTGTGTAGTCTAGGTCTATAATCATTTCATCTTTGATTGGTAGAATTAATTTAGGTGGAATCTCCACCTAAGTTACACAGCCAGATGTTTTCTTCTCCGTGGAGCATTACAAAATCAGTCTGCAGTTAGTAGCAACAGACCATTGATTAGAAACAACTTTTTGTACCTGGAACAACAATATTTGGTCCCCACGAGCCATATATGCCAATAATGGTTACTCTACAATACTATGAAATAAAATACTTATTTATACAAATTCCAATTGTCAATTTGAAACATTTGGTAATTCATAAGCCTTATAAACATTTATTTAACATTTTCTGTGAATCAGGCAATGTGCTCAACACATCATTTCATTGAATCCCAATAACAGTTCTGTGAAGTATTATTGTCACTAATTTCTTCTATTTTATTAATGCAGATATTGAAACTCAAAAAAGTTAAGTAACTTGTACTAAATGGCACAGAAAGTTGTACAGGTAGGATTCAAACTCTACAGCTCTTAACAACTACTTATGCATAGTCTCTTCAATTGAGTTATACTTCCCTTGAAAAGCAATTCCTTAGTCACCTTTTATATTCAAATAAAAAGTAATCAAGAAATAATTAGTTCAGCAAATAAATTATTAAATGTTTTAACTATTTTAGGGATACATAGGTACTATGAACATATAGTCAAAAATTTAAGTATACATTTAAGACAAATGAAGCCTTTCTCCCACCTTATCCTTCATTCTCCTGCTCCACACCTCTCCACAGAGGCAAACACTGGTAGACTCTAGAATGTAATCCTGAAATGATATTCAATGTGTATGCTAATGTGTGGATATGTATTCTGTTTTCTTTTAGTATGTTGCCTTTGATTTTGTATATAGTGGTTTTTTTGGTTTGTTTGGGGCTGGGAAGAAGTTAATTTTAATATTGTTAAAATTCATTAGTCTTTTCTGGAAGTTTGCGTCATATAGACCTTCCATACTTAATTTTATCAATGGTTTCCTATTTTCTTCTAGTATTTCTGTGGATTCCTCTTTTACATTTCAATATGTGTTCAATACGTAATTTATTTTGGCATAAGAAGTTAGGTATGCATACCACTTAATTTTTCTCCCCAGATAACTTCCCAGTTGTTCTAATATCATACTAATGCCACATATTTAATAATTTTTTCTATCTTCACTGATATGCAATACCAACTTTATCATACTAAACATCAAAATATATTTAGGCCTATATCTTGATAATATTTACCCAGCTCATATGGACCAGTATCATATTGTTTAAAATATTTTGGATGTATAATATGCTTTCATATTTGACAGATATTCTTATCTTTATTCTTCTTCTTATTTAGAATTTTTCCAAGATGATTTTCTCTTTTTTTAATTTGAGCTTTAGCAACAGCTAAGCTAATTCTTTAAAAAGGGAAGAAAATAATAAGAAAAAATTTTTATAGTTTTATTGGAACATTAATACAGTTCCAAATTATGGAAATCACTGATATTTTTACTGATTCTTTTTATTTAGAAGGAGAGCATGATTTTCATTTTTCTAATTCTTATTTTATAACCCTAAAGTATAGTTTGAAATTTTTAATGATATTGATTCTGTCTATTGCTTATTAAATTTTTCCTTAGATATTTTATCTAGTTGTATTGTGTGGTTGAAATTATAAGTGTGATGACTGTATATAGAAAACTATAGACTCAAAGCACAAAATTCAAGCAAGGGGCCTTGGCTCCAGCCTCCACCCGTTGCCACTGCAGCCGAGGCCTCTGCCGCCTCTGCCTTGGCCCCCACCTGCTGCGGCTTTCTCCAGAAGGAAGGACATTCAGGACCTTCAGTCTAATTAGCATATTACCCTTTTATTATTATAAATGGTTATTGATTTCTAATTAGTAATTTTTATACAACCACCTTATCAATAGCTATTTTCTGATTGATCATTTATTGATCTTTACATATTATCCTTGCCAAAGTCATTTAATTTTGCACTTGGAAGTTTTGAGAGATATTAGAAGTGTTAACTCTAAAGACTTATGTCCAGCCCAATTCAATTCAATATCAACCAATCATTACTGAGTGTGAAATATTCTTATGCTAGGTGCAGTAGTGATAAAAATAAGTTTAGCATCTAATGAGGCGCATACTGCACATACATAGCAATACAAGGTTTCTATAAACGCTATGAAAAAGGCTGAGCTGTGGCCTAGAATTTTTGGGTTTTGTTTTGAAGGGAGTGTAGGAATCATGAAATAGGACATTCAGGTTGTATAGAAATTTGGTGGAGATGCAAGAGTGTGTATGAAGGCAATCCAGGCAGAGGGCGGTACCTGTAAAAAGAGAAACACAGTCTGAGAGTACTCCGTGGTGCACATGAAGGAGATGTCATGTGATCCCACGAGAGAAAACACAGCACAGGAGGGAAGGGACAATTGTGTTTACATTCATTATGGTGGGAGACAGGGAGTCACTGAAGGCTTTTGATCAGGTGACTGTTATCATCAGAGCTGCATTATAGGAAGATCAATCTGTCAGCATTATGACAAATGGTTTGGAGCAGGAAGTGACTGGAGTGGAGGAAGGGAGGTCAGTCAGCCGGCATTGTAGACAAGCAGTGTGGACAAGAAATAAGGGCATCTCCCCTAGCATGTTGGTAGTGGAAATAGGAGGAATAAAATAAAAATGATACTGTGAAGATAGTTCTAACAACAAACTTTAATAACTGACTAGATACATGGGTAAGGAGAATGAGGAAGACTGTGACGTTAATTGGCGGGTGGTCCGATGATGTGATTGGCAATAATTGGCGAATCAGAGAGAGGAACTATTAAAGAAAGAGAGAAAAGGCCACAAATCTGGATTTGATATATTCACCTTGTTGTCATAATTATTAATTATTTACTGAGTATGTAATGGACAATGTGGTAACTATACATAATAATACTACACTGTTATATTTGAAAGTTGCTAAGAGAGTAAATCATAAAAGATCTCATCACAAGAAAAAATATTGTGTAACTAGGTGTGGTGATGGATATTGACTTATGGTTGTGATCATTTTGCAATGTACCCAATCGTGATGTCTTAAACCTGAAATTAATATAACGGTATATGTCAACTATATCTCAATTAAAAAGTAAGAAAAGACAACGGCCAACACAGAGCCAGGAAGAATGTATTTCCAATGTCACTTATTTCGGAAATATTAACACATTGGGACCTGGTAGAAAGCAAAGTCTCCTCCTGTTATAGGCACAGGTTAAAAATAATTATGTTTCCTAATCCATGGGCTAAGAAAGAGCTTTCGGTGACTTGGGATATGGTACCAGCCTCCATCTTAAGGTTGGGCTGGGCTGTTCGGACGGAGGTCAGGGTTTGTTCTGGCGGAGGAGGCCAGCTGTCCGTGTTTGCTGTCTGCCGAATACTGGAAGAGGTTGCATCATGCAATCTCCCAGGCGTCCCTCCCTCCTCTTAGCAATGGCTAATGCTTCACTAGCCTTTGCGGATGAATTGGCTGCAGAGGAGAAAGGTTGAGCTGGGCCAAAAGGAGGAGCTTAAACCTGTGTGTAAAATCTGGGAACCTGATTGAACATAGGTTGGGGGCCAGGATGAGGGGGAAAGAGATGAGAAAGACTTCCCTCACCTTCCGGGAAGAAGGTCCCGTGATCAGCTTCAGCCACTGGCAGGCCATCCTGGCCATCCTCAGAGCTTACATAAAGGGACTGCTGGAGCCCGGGAGGCCACATGCTGATACTCTCAGGGCTCCCTGACATCATGCGTTGGTCCTCGCACTCCCGGAGTTTAATTCTCTACTTCTACACGCTTTCATTCCTCTCTTCGACATGCCTAGCAGTAAGTATGCTTCTCCGCAGACATATTTATTTTATGGAAATGGAAAGCTGACAAGTAAGAAAACACACGATAAAGTAGTGACATGTCTGTATTTTTCTCTTCTAGTATGTTGCCAGCAGAGACAACTGCTGCATCTTAGATCAAAGATTTGTAAGTAGTTTGTTTGTTTTTTTATGTTTTTCTTGCTATATGTAGACTGCAGAGAGGCAGAGGAATAAAAGAAATTCTCTCACAAACATCATTTGGCATTTTAAACTCTGTTGTTTAACATAGTCTAGCTTTTACCTATTTTTACTCATAGATTTTTAAGTGTAGCGTTCATCAAGATTTTAAAGCAGCCTGTTGTATTTTCAGGGTAGTTATTGCCCGACTACATGTGGCATCGCAGACTTCCTGGGTAATTACCAGTCAGAAGTAGACCGGGATCTACAATCTTTGGAAGACACCTTAGGTCAAGTCGAAAACAAAACATATGAAGCCAAAGAACTAATCAAAACAATCCAAAGAATCTACAATCCTGATGGCCCACCGAAGCCAGGTGAGGAACTAAATGCCACTGACTGAGAAGGCAATTTGTAAAGTTCTTTTGCTGTTGTTTCACTGGCTCCACTTGCCTAAACACTTCTGTCTCTGATCTCATATTACAGGTAGGATAGAAGCTGCGACGAGGGAGTCTAAGAAAATGTTGGAAGATATTATGAAATTCGAAGCATTGATTATATCACATGAATCAAATATTCGGTAAGCATTTTTTGTTGTTAATCCTCGCCCAAGGATATTTTTTTCAATTGCTCTTTAGAGAGAGTGGAATGGAGGGAGGTGGGGGGAAAAGAGAGAGAGAGAGAGAAAGAGAGAGAGAGAAAGAGAGAGAGAGAGAGAGAGAGAGAGATGTGAGAGAGACACATTGGTTGGTTGCCTCCGACACACACCCCAAACAGGGCTGGGGATCAAACCTGCAACCCTTCTGTGCACAAGCTGATACTGTAACCACTGAGCTACACCAGCCAGGGTGCATTTCCGTTTTAACTCCAGGAGTGATTTAGTTTTTACTTAATATTGCAAACTTCAGTGGAATTAACTTTCCCCCCACTTTTAATATTTAATTGTCATTATGCCTGACCATCTGGAACTCAATGGAAATAGCATCTTGAGTGCAATATGTTTTGCCTTGGGTTATAATTGCTATTTAATAATCATGTGGGAGAAAGGTGTTCTAGATGTCTTCAAATACTGCTATGACCATATTTATGAAAATGATCCCCAACCCTGTTTGTCTTACATCACAAATTCAAATGGTAATTTGGGTGTGGAAACTAAAAATCTCTTTATAAGATTGTCAACAAATTGGTGGGAGGTATTAACAAGCAGAGATATAGGGAAAGTATAGGAAAGGTTAAGAGACTAAATGTAAGAAACATTACAAAGCTACGTGCTGATTATGGCATAGTGAATGTGCAATTATGTTCTCTCCTCCCTTCACCTGAACGTAAAATGTCTATTAATAACTCCTCAGGGACTCATTAACCTCCTGAACTCAGGATTTCAGATACAGTTTTAGTTTTTTTCCTCAAAAAAAAATTAATTTTTTTACTAAACTCTGTTCAAAGCAGCATTAAAAGTAGTGATAAAAGGCGGCTAGGGAGAAGTGGGCAGGAGGGATTTCTCCTCTTTCTGTTATCGGAGGGCCATAATTACTGTTGTATAATTTACAAGTCACATTGTTTTTGCCCATCACTGAAGTTAAAGAGACTATTGTGCAGAAATTTTCTAAGGTGGAGTAAAGAAAAAGAGTGGTCAGGTTCTTTTTCTATCTTTCTTCACCAAAAGATACAGCAGTCTGTGCATTGTAGACCATGCTCTACCATTCCTGAATATGTGCAAACGACCCTGTGGAAAACTACAAAAGCAGTTTATTTGTTTGTTTTTCACTCCCCCTAGGCTTTTCCCAAAGATCTCTAAATACAAAGATTGAGAAGGCCAGGAAGTGTCTGTTGTTCTATTATATGTAAGATAATGCCCCAGATTCTTTCTCCATGTAAGTTCTAGATTGTAGACCTCAAATAGTCCTCAGTAGGCCCACACTGGAAAGCATGATCCACCACATACACGTGAATCCCCGAACAGAGCTTTTTCTCCCCTGAGGATATCCAGTCCTGAGGGTGATCATCAGACACTCCTCCCACCAACCAGGCTCTTCACTCCATCAGGTCGTTACCTGCTGCCCTGGGTACAGATGGTAAAAATCAGAATGGCCACTGTTTAATGACAGTGGCATTGCTTATGGACAAGAACTTTATCATTTTCTTTTCCAGAAAGCTTAGAATTTTAACTCACCACAATTAAGTAGCAGAATTTTACAGTTTTCCCAAGAAATGGAGTCCTTTATCAGAAAGTAATTCTCAAAAAGATAAGGTAGTATTTTTAAGTGAAAATACAAAAAATTACACTTCTGAAGGGTGTGCTCTATTATCTTATTATTCCGCTTGTAGATTTTTGAAGGACATATATAATTCAAATAATCAGAAGATCACTACCTTAAAACAGAAAGTAGTCCAGCTTGAGGAAAAGTGTCAAGAGCCTTGCAAAGACACAGTCAAAATACATGACATCACAGGGAAAGGTAAGTGACACTTTGATGTGGGGATTACTATATTAAGCAAAAGAGATTTCATCTTTTAGAATTTATAGGAATGATTTTGCAGGTGCTTAGCCATTGAGTCTAACTGTATCCAATTGCCTTGACTTTGCTTGAGTAGCTAAAAAATAGTTAGAAAGGAATGGTGATGTGAGAAGTAAGAAAATGATTAGTGGGAAATGAATAGTTTGCATCTTGCTAAAAGCTCATGTTCAAGGCTGGAATAGTTTTACCTGGATTTCAGACTACAGTGTAGGCGGCGGCTCCTCCTCCTCCTCCTCCTCCTCCTCCTCCTCCTCCTCCTCCTCCTCCTCCTCCTCCTCCTCCTCCTCCTTCTTCTTCTTCTTCTTCTTCTTCTTCTTCTTCTTCTTCTTCTTCTTCTTCAGATTGTCAAGATGTTTCCAATAAGGGAGGCAAAGAGAGTGGACTTTACTTCATCAAACCTCTGACAACTCAGCAGCAGTTCCTAGTCTACTGTGAAATTGAAACAAATGGAAATGGATGGACTGTGCTCCAGAAGGTAATTTCTCCCTTTGCCTTGTGTGTTTAATAAGCATTCAAATAAGCATCTGCCTTAGGTTGGATGCTTTTCTAAGCACATCAACTCAGTGAATCCTCCCAACATCCCTGTGGGGTGGGCCTAATTATTACCTCTTTTTACAGAGGAGGAAACTTGGGCACAAGAGGTAAAGTAACTTACCCAAGGTCACATAACTAACTAGTAAGTAACAGAGTTAGGATATGAACCCAGACAGTCTTATTTCAGAGTCTGTACTCTGACTATATATTATGCTGGCACTAAGTATTTTGATAAAATCTATTTACCTTGGAACCATACAGAATCATTGCTGATATTTACTGAGCATTTAATATTTTTGACATATGATAGCACATAGTCACAGAATCATAGTGACAAAAAGCCCTACAGAAATCTGGAAGGGTCTTGGTGCATCAGTTAGAGCAAGACCCACAGCTTCCAGTTATAAAAAGATGAAGTCCCACAGTGGATTCAGGTGGGCTGTTCCAAGGCAAAGGCCCTTTGTTTCCTCTCTGCCAGCCCCTGGCACTTGATGCAGAATCCTTTTCTCCTTTTACCTCTGACCACCTTTACAAGTAATCCTGCAGGGGGCGCTCAGAGGGCATGGGGGATGGAAGTGCTGGTTGGCAGGCAGACTGAGCCATGAGTTGACCTTTCCACCACCAGTACAAGAATCAGCAGTGCCGGGCCAGCAGGAGTTCTGAAGTTCTCTAGATGTCTTTTAAAAACTACCACTAATTTTACAATAGTGCCCCGAACTCTCTAAGTATTTCTCTAACATTCTCTCTAACATTCTGCAATAACCCTAGAAGTAAGCATCATTCTTCTTGACAGATGAGGAAACGGAGGCAGTTTGACCAAGGTCATCTAGTTAGTAAATAATGGGATCATATCCTCCATATTTTCAACAAATGTTTATAACATTTTCTTCATGCATGCTGATAATCTGTTATCTCCTTTTGCCTGTGCATTTGCGTAATTAGAGGCTTGATGGCAGCGAGGATTTCAAGAGAAACTGGATCCAATACAAAGAAGGGTTTGGACATCTGTCTCCCACGGGCACCACAGAGTTTTGGTTGGGAAATGAGAAGATTCACTTGATAACCACCCAGACGGCCATCCCATATGTACTAAGAGTGGAGTTAGAGGACTGGAGTGGCAGAATCAGGTACGTCTAGAAGAGACTTCTTGTTGTCTGGAATGTGCACTTTCTAGCCATCAACAGACCAGTGGCAAAGAGAGCTTAACAAATGCAGAGAACACATTCAGCCATTTCCTCCACAAGGCGATTTGGTTCTTGGGCAGCCCAAAGAGATGGGTTCTACCCAGGCTGGATCTGAGTATTTTGGTAAAATCTACTTACCCTGGAACCATACAAAAATCATTGCTGATATTTGCTGAGAATTTACAATTTATCAGAAATTGAGCATGAGGTTATAATTTAATCTAGTCCTAGTAACTCTTTTACGAGGCAGGTAATATTGTCAATTGCAGATTAACCTTCCCAAAGTCACATTGCTGGCATATGGTAAAGGTTGGATTTGAACTAAGATTGTTTGACTCTACAGATCATCTTCTTAAGACTAGCCTGGTTGAAAGCCAAGCCTGCCTCTTCAGACTTCCTGGCTGAAATTAAATAAGCTAGCTCCTTTGGGGAGATAGAGTTCCTCTATGCTCAGAGTTATCTGGGGGCTTTGAGCATTGTACACCTAATTAAAATTCAGAAAAATATCCAACCCTCTTTTTATGTCTATGAAATAATGGAATATGTTTTGTATCCAAAGGTGTATTTTTATTTATTTATTTTTTACCCAGAAAGAAGTACGATAGTCAGTAGATTTGCTCCTGTGATAATATCTCCAGTTTCACAAGCACCAGATATCAGTGATTTTCTGGAAATCTTTGTTCATATAGTAAGGCTCATTCTTCCATGCACTCAATAGAATTCTGGCCCATATATATATATATATATATATATATATATATATATATATATATATATATATCTTTTTTTTTTCCAGCGGAGAACTCTCTGATCCCCTACCTCATGTTTTGTGGGCCACACAGGGACCACTTCTTTCATGTGATATTTTAGGAAGCCAACCTTATTGCCACTACCACATTGCCTTATGAAAGAAAAACCCCTTTAGGACCTCACTCTTCAGATTGAACAGCTAAAGGGGGTGTAGCTCCTTTGGTGCATTGACGGTCACTCACTGTCAGCTAATTACTGTGGTTCCTGAAGACTGTGTGAACAATGCTAACCATTTAGATAAAAGTGAAAATATAAAATGAATCAGATTCATCCATACATCTGGGTTTGATATTAGGATCCTATCGGTAAAAAGCATTAAAATGGCTGAAGTTTTTAGTTTTCATTGAAATGCTATGACGGCTTCTAGACCCATCTTGGGTGGTCTGATAAGCACTGGGTGCTATAATCGGAGTGCTGATAAGCACTGAATTGGTTCTTACAGCCATTGCCTCTTACCAAATTTGCAGAAGAGTTCATTCAATGAACACATTTGAGACTTAAGAAGCAAGTCTCTATAGAACGGCTGTTCTATAGAAGTACCTTCTGAGATCCCTATTGAGGTTCAAGATATGATATCTCTATTTCTTTATAGTACTGCAGACTATGCCATGTTCAGTGTGGGAAATGAAGCTGACAAATACCGCCTGAAGTATGCCTACTTCATCGGTGGAGATGCCGGCGATGCCTTCGATGGCTATGATTTTGGTGATGATCCCAGTGACAAGTTCTTCACATCTCACAACGGCATGCAGTTCAGTACCTGGGACAATGACAATGATAAGTTTGAGGGTAACTGTGCTGAGCAGGATGGATCTGGCTGGTGGATGAACAAGTGTCATGCTGGTCATCTCAATGGAATTTATTACCAAGGTATGGCTTTCTTCCTGACTTATATAACTTTAGTGTGCAGTCTATATTTTAATAAAAAGTTTAAATAGATTTAAGGATGAGAAATAATTAGTAATTATATCAGGGGAGCTTATTATATAATTCTATTTTAAAATAGTAAATTTATAATGTATTACAATACAAATAAGAAGTATTTCCAGTATAAAAATTGCATTTGCACAAAAAAGCTATGTAGTAACAAATACAATTACACTACACTGGAAGCATGTCAGAGGTGAATGAGTGCCACATATGCGGTGTCACAGTTCACATGACACTTTACTAAAAATAAACTATCTCAAGTCCATGTCCTGGTCTAAAGATGTCATAGGCCTTTCAACCGAACTTCCTGGTTCAGGAAAGTATTCAAAAGCTGTCCCCACCCGGGGGGGAGGGTCATCAGACTTGATGACTCCACGTTTGGTTTTTCAAGACAAGCTATATTCCTTAAGAGGACCAAAACATAGGACTGAGGTAACGAGATACTAAACAGTGAACTTTTATGTTGACACAAAATACTTACATGAATGCTTTCCAAAATGTTGTTATATTTAACAGGATGGGTCTATCACACATAACATTGGCAAAAATAACACTGAAATGAAGGACAGATAAATAGTCATACATTAACAAGAGCATCAATCTCCTTTCTTTCTCTCACTCATGCCAATTTAGTTCTTGATATGAAATTACAATTGAATAATATTGTGATTACATCTCAAATTGGTCCCTCAACAAGAAATCCACATGCTGTAAAATAGCCAATGGTTTGTCATTGTGTCTGAAATTACCACCATCAGAGTTGACATTTTGGGTTATGGAATCTCCTCCAAATTTGCATATATATGATCTGGATGGACCAACATTACCATATGTATGCTTGTTAACACATTAGCTTGAGTCAGCTGAGCGGTGTATCAGATATAACCAGTGAGCAGTAAGTCAGTGTCTGGAGGAATGGAGTAAAGAGCAGGAATTTGTTGGAAAGGGTAGGGGTCCATGGAAACTTGAGAGAAGAATCCAGCTTATGAGTCTAGACACTTAATTTAGGATGGGGGAAGGCAAGCTATAATTTGCTCTCAGGCTGGGATAGTTATGAACACTGATTTTATTTACTAACTTTTGTTACTACCCAACAGTTATGTGTGGGAAAGCTCTACTGATGCAAAAAGATCCATTAAGATAAGCAATCTCACCTCCTCATGGCATTGTCCTAGCCAATAAATGGCTTAAAATTCTCTTAAAAATGATTTAAATTTACCTTTGGTCTTCACAACATTTTGAAAAAATATATTTTTATTGATTTCAGAGAGGAAGGGTGAGGGTGAGAGAGATAGAAACATCAATGATGAGAGAGAATCATTGATCGGCTACCTTCTGCATGCCCCACACTGGGGATCAAGCCAGCAACCAGGGCATGTGCCCTGACTGGGGAACTGTGGCCTCCTGTTTCATAGGTCAACACTCAACCACTGAGCCACACCAGCCAGGCTTCACAACATTAAAAAACAACAACATCTAATTAATCTTTGCAGTCACAAACCATATAATTAGAAGAAATTCTCAGGAAAGGTGTTTGATCTATATGACCCAGAGTGGCCATGTTGATAGCCTGTGGTACACATTGGACTCAAATATTTCCTAAGGAAATTACACGAGAACTGGTACTTATGGACAAGGAGAAGGCAAATCAACCTAATCTCCACTTTATAATGGAGATGCGAAATAACATTCCAGACTATTTCCTAAAGTCCCTCATACTTTCCAGGACAATTGTGTTTTCAGATAACTTGAGATCACCTCATCAGGAATTGTGATTCCTACCATTCTAACCTCCTTGAAAAAAAAAAAAAGATGGTCCATAATAGCTGAGTCCAGTATGGTTGGCTAGACACCAACTGGGGAAACTGGAATTCTAGCCCTGTTAGTAGTGAATATATTTAAAGTATGAATGTGACCAGAAGAAAGAACAACACAGATGTAAGAGGTTGTTAATAATCCATTTATTATCATTATAAATTGAGATTTTAGTGATCTTCAGGATATTTTTAGTTAGTTGACAGCACTATACATTTGATGTGACAATGGCCACCATAAATGGCAGCTCTTTGTAGACCCTCTGAGGTGAGGAAATCCAAGAGCAATGACACGTTCCATTTGTCTTAGGTGGCACTTACTCAAAGGCATCGACGCCGAATGGCTATGACAATGGCATCATTTGGGCCACCTGGAAGTCTCGTTGGTATTCCATGAAGAAAACCGCCATGAAGATAATTCCCTTCAACAGATTCAACATGGGAGAAGGGCAGCAGCACCACCTTGGGGGATCCAAACAGGTCAGACCAGAGCACCGTGTTGACATAGAAACGGAATAAATCATTTTACTCTGGGAATGCATTTTTCATTTCTATTAACCCACAAAGTTTCAAAAACATTCCTGAAAGTTCCTTCTCACTTTCTGTCACCATATTTATCAATTTTGTCTGATATGAAGGATATTTAACCTTAAATGGAAATTATAAACTTACTTTGGGTTGTATTCCCAAATTACTGCACTCTGCATTATTTAAAATTTATTTATTTGATGAGATAACATTTTAGCATTTGTCCCAGGGATATATATGAAATAATTGCCACATTTTTTTTAAACATTTTAATGATCACATATTATTTTATCTTGGTAATTTTAAAAAAGTATGCCTTAAATATTTTAGTACATACTAATAAAATTAGTAAATTTTATTAAAATTAGGAGTAAATTCTACATTTCAAATGCCTAAGTATTTTTCCAAATGTATCTATCACCCCTAATTGTTAATATATAATTCTTTTTTAAATGGAGACTATGTAATCTTCTTAATATATTTTTGTTTTGGTCATAGGCTGGAGACGTTTAAAAGACCATTTCAAAAGTGAATTTACTTTTTTAAAGGACTTTATCTGAACAGATAAATATAATATTTTTCATATGGGACAATGGACTGGTAAAGCCATACTTCATTTTAAGAGAAAAAAAAGAACCCATGTTGAAAACTCCACTAACTGTTTTATGCTGGTGATAATTTATCTACATTCCATTTCAATAAACATCGTGTTTCCTAAGACTAGATACATGGTGCCACTTATTTCTTTCAATTTGGTAATCATGGTTGGGCAATCATCAGTATTTGCTGAGTCCTCACTTGACAGCAAACCTTATACCTGCCTCTTAGAGAGTTATGAAAAAAATAGAAGTCATTGCTTTTGCCTTCCAGGGACTATAAAATAAACATAGAAAAATACAGTAACTCAACGTGACCAAATTTGATATAAAAATATAAACTCAAGTTACAATCACATAATTAAGTTTCAGAATCCCCAAAGCACAGCTGGAAACATAGGCTGTTTGGGAATTCTCTCACTACAATCTCTGGTTCAAGACTCCTGTGACCACATGTGGCCTTTCTGAAAGGACTTGATATCAGAGCAGAGAGATTTAAGGAACAAGCTAAATCAGTCTCTCCCTGGTAAACACTGAGATTCAGCGGATTAGAGCCATTACTTCATTCTGAATCTAGGGATATTGAGTTAGCAGCCAGAGAGTGGGGAGGACCAGCTTTCCAAAAGGAGTAGTTAAGTCTGCATAAGATTGACCTTGCAAAGCAATTGATTAATTCTAGGAGGGGAGGATCAGGTTGTTCTGAAATCCTGAGTTTTAGCGTTGGATTCTCTTCTTTTTCACAATTTCTTCCTTGTTCTCATGAGTCCTGATTCAAAATATCCCGTTGAAATAAAAACAGGAAAGAGACAAACAGGTACTTGTAGGGCTTTGAGAAATAGGAATGCTTATTCATTATTTACTCATTAATTCATGTATCCATGAAACATTCATGCAGCTAACATTTATTGAATGCTGTTGTTGTACTAGCCACTGTGCTGGATATTGGGAATATAGTGCACCATAGTGTTTTCTTCTTTTCCAAACTTGCTCTATTCTATCCAGGTCTCAAGTTCCAAAATAAATAAATAAATAAATAAATAAATAAATAAATAAATAAATAAATAAATCATCCTCCTGTCTTCCTTAGTCTTCCCTCCCCTGGTCATCAAGCCTGTTAAACCCACCTCCAAAATATTTATTATATTCATTTCCTTTTATACATATATGTACACACACACACACACACACACAGCCACATTCTAAATGGGATATACAACGTCTCTTGCCAGGTTAGGGCATCACCTTCTTCCTGTCCCCCACAGTGCCTCTAACCTTGCCTGCCCCAACCTTGTCATGCTTCGAACTACTTCTAAGCTCAGAATGCGTAGTCTACTCTGCAAACTCCTTTAGGTGAGAAATTCGATCGTAGGCAGGAAAAGTTATTTAAATAAGTTTTGATGCAAAAATACCATGCCAGTGAATTAGGCCAAGAAAATTATTTTTGAAACAGAAAAGACCATTTATATCTCAGAAATATGAATATAGCCATATACTTAACGTGGGAAATTTAGAGATTATTTAGCAATGAAAGAATGCACAAGCAAGTTAGTTCATTAGTACAATGGAATAGAAAACAATGATTACATAATATGCATTAAATCTCAGCATGAACATGGAAACGTTTACAAAATAATGAGTGAAATTTTAAGATGAAAAATTATTCTACAATGATGATATAAAAAGTGTATGTAGCCCTAGCCGGTTTGGCTCAGAGGATAGAGCATCGTCCTGGGGACTGAAGGGTTCCAGGTTCAATTCTGGTCAAAGGGCATGTACCTTGGTTCCAAGCACACCCCAGTGGGAAGTGTGCAGGAGGCAGCTGTTAGATGCTTCTCTCTCATTGATGTTTCTAACTCTCTATCCCTCTCCCTTTGTTTCTGTAAAAAAACCAATAAAAATATATTTTTTAAAAAGTAAAAAGTGGCCGGTTTGGCTCAGTGCAGAGAACGTCAGCCTGTGCACTGGGAGGTCCCGGGTTCGATTCCGGTCAAGGCCATGAACCTTGGTTGCGGGCACATCCCCAGTGGGGTGTGTGCAAGAGGCAGCTGATGGATGATTCTGTCTCATCAATGTTTCTAACTCTTTATCCCTCTCTCTTCCTCTCTGTGAAAAAATCAATAAAATATATTTTAAAAAAGTAAAAAGTGTATGTGCATATACATTTTAAACAAAACATAATTTTGACATTTATGCATTATTTGTACATATTTGTTCTCTCCCTCCCAATGTATAATGTAAAATTTAATAAAAATACTTAATACAAAATAAATATAAATGAATTCAAAAGTATCTCTGGATAGAATAGACCCAATGGGGTCACTTGTCCAATGCTCTTTCTAAAATATCAGTTATAACACTTCAAAAAACATTTTGGAATCCTCTGGAGAGAATAGACCCAATGGGGTCACTTGTCCAATGCTCTTTCTAAAATATCAGTTATAACACTTCAAAAAACATTTTGGAATCCCCTGTTTTTGTTGGTGTCCTGAGTACATATTTGGTTTGCATGTTGGGTAATTCACATTGACTGGTAAGGCAGGCCTTCTAACTTACTCTTTATACAACCTACTTGGCTTGACTTGCTGTGATGAGTACATATTAACTTTGTAGTTAGTTTAAAAACCCAATTAGGTAAAGAAAAACAGGTAAACTTCAGAATTCTACCTGTTTAGATATTGCTAAACATTGAAGGGCTACATTTTAAGAATTAAAGCATGAGATATAATCCAAATGTAAGCGGATCATGTCTCCGTAAGTAAAATGGGAATTGAAATGATTATTCTTGATAAACCAATTTTTAGAAATCCACTTTTAAGTGAAACAAAGAGTTTGGGGTCTCAAAAATATAGATTATTTTTCTTCACAGCTTGAATCACAAATAACTCTTATTCAGCCCTTCCTTATATTTTCTTGACATAAAAAACAACAACAACAACAACAACCCTCTAGTCACTGCTGAGTACAAATAGGCAAGCTGAGTACAAAGCAATGTGTGCAGTTAATATACTTTAAAAATCTACAAAGGGAAGCTTCCAAAAAGGAGAGGACTGGTACAGACGTACAGATACCTTGGCTTCAGGGCATGAAGCTGAAGGGCAGAGTCCTTTAGTCACCAGACAGGAGTAACACTTCATTGGACAAATGTCAGGATTTTCAAATAAACCTCTGAAGTGTTATAGCTTTTTTTTTTTTTTTTCAATCCTTCTGTTTAGTGGTTACAGTATAAAGACACTATTTCAGATCTGTGGGTGGGTTGAAAATGAGTGGGAAATGAAGAAATGGAAGTATAGACAGCAAATCTGAGATCTTCACAAGATCTAAAATTCATAGACTGTGACGCTAACCAGTGTAAACTAGCCAAGGCATTTACAGTAGGTATCTTTGGTGTATTAAGATGATAAGAGTGAAAAACAAAGTACACATTTAATCCTGAGGAAAATATATCTGCCTGATGGTCTCTTATTGGTTTGATGTAGCTCAAAAGAGGAAAGGAAAAAAGAATTAATGATAATCAGATGAATTAAAGCAGATGGAAAATAATGAGTTAGTGAGAAAGAAACCAAGAGTATAGGAAAGACTTGCATTTCATATAACTTTTTGCTCTCTCTGTGTGTGTGTGGTGTGTGTGTGTGTGTGTGTGTGTGTGTGTGTGTGTGTCCATCCCTCAGACATAAATGTTGAATTAACCTTAATTCAACAAATGTCAGGATTTTTTACAAAATTTTACAATTTTTTTTCCTAATACACCATTCTCATTTATCTGTGCTCAGTTATTCTTTTGATTGATTCTTTTTCATTCCAACTTTCATTTCTTCCCTTCCTTTCCATAATAAATTATCTTTCCAATAGATTTAATGTGTGTTTATTTATATGCATTTTTATAAATCATAGATTTTTCTTTTGAGCTATGTATTTTTAAATTATATAAATGACATTGTGCAACAAATCAGTGTTACTCAGAATGCTTGTCCTCAAATTCTTTGTTACTGGTCTATCTACACTAATAAAAGAGTAAGCTGCAAATTGACCATATCTTTGCGATGTCGACCATCCAATCAGGAGTGAGTATGCAAATCAACCCAAAAAAGATGGTAGGTTGATTTGCATGCAAAGGTGCTGAGTGGCTGGGATTAGGGTGGGTTGCTTCAGCTGCTTCAGGCCTCTGGGCAGCATGGGAAGGTGGAAAGGTGGCTCCAGGTCAGAGCAAAAAGGCTGCTCCTGCCGGAGTGAAGGCAGTGCCTACAGCCAAGGGAAGGAAGGCCCGTTCTTGCATGAATCTTCATGCCTTGGGCCTCTAGTGTTAAGGAAAAAGACATAATAGAAAATAACTCTGTAGGAAGATTTTTCTTAAATTGTCTTTCAAACCCAGTAATAACATTTGGGCTTATATTTTGTATATAATTTTAAAATTTATTTTTCTAATAATTAACTATAATCTAAATAGAGGCCCAGTGCATGAAAATTCATGCATTGGAGGATGGGCCCTCAGTCCAGCCTGCCCCCTCTCACAGTCCAGGAGCCCTCAGGGGTGGGAGGCAACCTGGAGATCAGGGGAAGGTGACACCCCATCACACCTCTGCTGATGCCACTGCCTACAGTGCAAGCCTCTGCCGGCCCTGGTTACTTGAGCCTCGGGAAGCCCTGGATGGCTGGGCAGCCACCATTCAAGGCTTGCCTGCACCTCAGGCTGGCCCTGGGCTGCTGGGGGGCTGAGAGGACTGGGGACAGGTGTCCCAGCGGGGATGAAGGAACTGGGTGCAACCATTGTGTAGCTGTGGGCACTACCATCTTTGAGGGTGATGCAGTCAATTAGCATATTTCCTTCTTAATGGCTGTGGGCATTGCCATCTTTGAGGATGGGGCAGTCAATTAGCATATTCCCTCCTATTGGCTATAGATGATGTGAGGGTCAATTAG